GTGCAATAATCATGCTGTCTAATCAGCATCTTGATATGCCACACCTGTGAGGTGGGATGGATTATCTCGGCAAAGGAGCAGTGCTCACTATCACAGATTTTTTCAGATTTGTGAACAATATTTGAGAGAAATGGTTATTTTGTGTATATAGAAAATGTTTTAGATCTTTGAGTTCATCTCATGAAAAATGGGAGCAAAAACAAAAGTGTTGCGTTTATATTTTTGTTCAGTGTAGATAATGCAATATGGTTTGTTGAGCTGGAGTTGATTATTGAAGCTTACTGGTTAACGTTAATCATATTAAACGAACAAACCCAAACCTTGTTGTTTTTATTAATATTATTACCAATACTTACTTAGCATTTTATTATCATTACACTTGAGAAACCGACTTATTGTGGCAGCAGAACGTGAACATGTAACTTAATGCCTGCATTTAAGGACGAAAAATAGCGCAGTCAATGCTTTAGGGACAAGGAAATGATTTGTTTAAATATTAGATATGACGTTATGTGTGCTTCTGTGACAATTAAGCTTATTCATTGCATTACATTTGTTAAAGATGTTTGTCTTTTACCCTTACGTGTGTGTTACAAATGAATGTGAATATGGCATAGGACAAATATTTAAATTGACTGTCTCATGAAAAACTATCCCAAAATAACAGTAAAATAAAAAGGACCCCAACTAGACAATGATACACAACAGCGTTTCCACCAGGGGGGGTGTCTTGCCGTCATTTGACGCCCTTATTCAGCTCGGGACGCCCTGAACTCGAGCCGAGGAAGTCCAAAAATATTAATAATTCGAGAGAAGATCGAGAGTTTTTATCGCTTGAAATAACGAAAAGGAAAAAGGACAAGGACATTCCTCTGTTGGAGGGGCAAAGGAGTCTGGTGGGATTCTTTTCGGAGTATTGAAGATCGTTTCCCCGACATCGGCGCTGCCTGCTACAGGACAACACAGAACGTGCACAGTTTAGACGCGATGAGCGGTGCTAGTGGAGCGCGCGCGTGAGCTGCAAGCACCAGAGCCTCACAGCGGCGAAACTGAGGCTCCGTGGTAACATGAAGAGCCGTTTGGGAGCCGAAACAGCCGACGCTTTAAAGGTCCCATGTCATGCTTTTCCGGTTATTACCCGTCCCCTTGTGTGTTATGAAGGTTTTTATGCATGTAAACGGTCTGCAGAGTCAAAAACCCTCAAAGTACACCCTGTAGGGAGTACAACTCTATCACAGAAAATACCTCCCCAAAACGCCTCGTTGGAGATTTATCATGTTCTTCCTGGGCATCATGACGTCTGGATACCCAGTAGCCACGCCCAGAGCTATGATGCACCCTCTGCCAGCCAAGCATATACTGTTGGAATCTCAGGTTCAGTTCAAAACAGTGCTAACTGGGCTAACGAAGTTGCTAGCGTTTACATATATCAACTACAATGTCAGCAGATGGCCTTACATGTTTCTCATAGCAGGAGAATGTCTGCATTCACACACGAAATACTCATAGACAGTATACTCCGGGTAATTTACCCTACGGTCAGTAGTTGGCGTTCCTAACCAAGCTACCGTTCATAGCGTGTATGCTACCGAGATAAACAACGACGCTACCGAGAGGTAGACATGCTAGGCGAAAACATTGTTTTCATGCCAGCTACAATGAATGACCAAACGTAGCAGACTACCCGTATAAGATTGCAATTGTAAACACGTTCTTCCTAGCCTAATATGAACCTCTAGCTTTTGTTCATAGTGGTTTTATTACACAGAAAAAGCCATTGACACAGTGCTAACTGGGCTAACGATGTTGCTAGCGTTTACATATATCAACTACAATGTCAGCAGATGGCCTTACATGTTTCTCATAGCACGAGAGTGTCTGCATTCACACACAAAATACTCATATACAGTATACTCCGTGTGATTTACCGTACGGTCAGTCGCAAAACTTAATTACATTATAGTTGGCTTTCCTAGCATGTATGCTACATAGCTAAACAACAAGGCTACCTATAGCTAGACATGCTAGGAAAAACATTGTTTTTATGCAAGCTAAAAAGAATGACCGACACATAGCAGACTACCGTATAAGATTGCAATTGTAAACACGTTATTGCTAGCCTAATATGAACCACTAGCTTTTGTTCATAGTAGGTTGAACAACTAGCAAACGTAGGTTAGCTTACAAAAACTGATGCTCCGCTCAGAGCCGAAAAAACACTGTGTTAGACATGGGCGGAGCCTCTCTGGTGGTTGACTAATCAGAACAGAGTGGCCGAGCTGACCAATCGGAGCACACTGGGCTCACAGGGAGGGGGGGCAGGATCTCAAACAAGCCGTTTAGGGCAGAGAGTGAATACCGGTCAGGGCCGGCCCTAGACTTTTGGGGGCCCTAAGCGAGCTTTGGCTTGGGGGCCCCCCTCACTCTAGCACGTTCTGACTACACACAACACGGAACCAACTTTTGTCTTATGATGTTAACATAAGCACACATATTGTATAAATAAGCATGTAAACACAGTGGACCTCACCTCCTCTGGGGGGTCCGGGGGCATGCTCCCCTGGGAAGATTAATTAAGAGATCTATGGATACATCTCTCAACACCCATATGAAACAGAACTGTAAATAGATTTTTTTCTTTATGGATATTTTACAAATTACTTAAACTGTATTCTTGTTTTGTCATATAGTATTTCATAACTGTTTTTCATGTATTCTCTGTGGCTGTCCATCTCATAATGTTCACATAGAAACTAGCTGTCAATAGGAATATCATTCAGAAGAATTATAATTTCTTTCAAAAATCTGTCACAAAAAGAGGTTGCACATTTAAATTCAGGTGTTATGGCAATGTCAGTGGCCAAACAGCCACATTTACTGCTGCAAATACGTTCAAACATGCTGTTGACACGTAAAGCAGTGGCAACTATGCCACCATTTCAGCTGACTTTTTCTCAGAAATACTGTCACATAACATCCATATATTTCAGTGCTAGGTTGATGCTAAGCTAACTATGAAACACTTGAACTGACAGGACTCAGGATCAACTGTGTACTGTGAGGTAGCTTCTAGCTTCATGTCGAACAGTAAGTCAACATTTCCCAGAGAGCTTTCTTTGAAATCACCAGGTAACGCTAAAACACATAACATTTAGATGATATGACAAAGTGTTTATTTAATATCTCTGGCTAGCTATAGCTACTTGCTAACGGTTTAGCTTACCCCTAAATTGATTCAAAGTAACGTCAACGTAGCTGTAATTTATGCTTTGCTTACATGTTCGCATAGCTTGGAAGTTTACTGACATTTACATACCTTGTTTACCTGGCTCAAGTGGTGGCTCTGGGGTTGATGTGTGAGCCACCACTTGAGAATTTTCGTCTTTTTTAAGAACAAATGTTCTTATGTCCATCTTCAAAAACTCTGAGTCCGATTGACAGTTTATTTTAAACATTGTCACAGCTCACAGGATAGGTACCTGTCAGCCAATAAGACAGATGTTTATTTCCATTCAACTCTCTGGTTGGTCTGCTGTCTTGCCTCTGTTGCATTCACTGCACATGGGAAATTACAATCCTGCTGTCCGCTCTAGTGTCATGATGAGGTTCAGGTAAAGCACGGTTAATGTATTATATTATTGACTCAATAATATAATACATGACTTTGAGAGTAGGCAATCTAGGCATATTAACACAATTAATTAAACCTACTTATCACGGCGACGGTGTACTGAGATTTTTTTTTTTTTCATTTTTATGTTGCTTAATGGGTCGGGCCGGCTCTGATACCGGTGAATGTATACTTTACAGAGATGCTGTATGCGAAACCAATGTGAGTTTGGAAAATTGCACAGTATAAATCTATTTTAGTATACCTCAACAATGGAATTTTGATAAGTGGAAATGGCCATGACATGGGACCTTTAAGAGACCCGAGCCAAATGATCCGGCTCACTAATGTAAAAAGACAGTATCTATAAGGGACGGCTCAAGTCAAAATTCAAGCACCCCGCCCTCGGGGTGGACGCCCTCTCAGCCCTGGTCTGGCGGAAACACTGATACACAATCCAACTGATAAAATACAGTAAGGGCTGTGAGATCCAGCACTTTTCTTAAGGATAACAAAAAGATTATCACATGACGTTTGCATGTAAAAAGTCTGTGACCAACACATTGTTACTTTACATATATATATATATATATATATATATATATATATATATATATATATATATATATATATAGTTTGTTTAAAGTTTCTAGGTGATGCAGACAGACCAGAGGAAGCTGAACACGAGAGACGGACCGAGATTCCTGACATCAGTGAACTTCAGCATGGAGTGAAATGTGCAAAGACTCCTTTCATACTGTACAAAGAATCGAGAAACGTTCTGGTTTAAATAGATAAAGTAACAACTACACTGATATACACTGATATACATGCCATTAAACATGACTAAATACTGACATCAGGGAAGTTGACTGTTCCTTCCTTGCAACAAGTTACATTTCGATTTTACCAAGCAACATGATTTGTTTGTCAGCTTTCACATGTCAATGTATTTAAGGCAATTATTATTTTACATTGTGAGAATTGCTACCATTTGTCTCGACATATTGTCTGTAAAAGACGTGGTAAAAGTGGTTCTTGCAGTGAGACAACCGAACAGCATGATTCTACATTTACACTAAGTTCTGATAACAGTTGAATATTATTTAATAATAACATATATTTTAATGTTGATTAACTGCAGACCGTTCATTCATAATTATCTTTGTAGTGCAAAGTGGTGAATTTAAAAAACACATTAAAATAAAAACATATATTTTTTCTACAGCTGCTTAATAAACAAACACACCTCTTTCATAAATAACACACTTGCTCTGCAATGTCATATGTTTGATGTTTCATGTAATTTCTGTTAGGAAAGGACATACCTGAAGGACACAACTGCCTCACCGTTTTCTCTGAGGGGCCAGAAGAAAATGAAAAGCTGATATGACAAGAAACTACACTTTTATTGTGAACACACAAGATCTGCACACTGAATAGTGTGTATTCAAACAGGACCATCATTTGTTTGTGTCCAGTATGGGCTCACAGTTAGGTGGTTTCTTCATCAGGCCTGGTCCTCCTCCATCAGGTCACGTCCTCCATCAGGCCTGGTCCTCCTCCATCAGGTCACGTCCTCCATCAGGCCTCGTCCTCCTCCCAGGCAAAGACCGCTCCACCTCAGTCCTCTCCAGCCGAACCAACAGACAGGACATCCGTCACACTGAGGTTTCTCACAAAGTCTCTGTAGCTCTCTGGACACCACGCTGTCTCAATTGATCCACACTGTGAATATGAGAGGGGAAAATGTGTGTAATAAATGCTTTAGACCAGGGGTGCCCACACTTTATTGGCTGGTGAGCTACTTTTGAAATGACCAGCTCACCGAGGTCTACCAACCAAAAATAAAATCCCAAATTGCAAGGGTTGCTGAATAACACGTTTTTTTATACATGGGATAACTACAATAGGGCTGCAACAAACAACTAATTTGATAATCGATTAATGAAACGATTAATAGACTATTCGGACTATTACTGTGCCTTGCACAATTTCTCAAGTGCTCTTATTTAACCATCAACTTTTAGATTTAGCTTGAGGTTGTTTTAGGCATGTGGAAACTAACAATGAAGACAGTAAAGATGAATACTTGATTCAAAAATACATATATTATTAAATTAACTTAACAAATTGTGAACAAAATTAACATTGCTTTTTATTTAAATTAAATAAATAATATTTCACATCAAAAGAAACAACAATGTTTTAACAAATCGTATTAAATAATCTGATGACAGAACTGTAAACAGAATAGCTGAAACTTTAACAAAATAAAGAGTAACTCTGTTACCTCTAATCATTAACCCATGCTTGTATAATGTAGTTAACTGTGTGTTGCTGCTAGCCAGTGTTGGGGAAGTTACTTTTAAAAAGTAGTGTTTGCTCGTTACTCGTTACTTCTTTAAAAAAGTAATCCCTTACTTTACTTAGTTACCCTGCAAGGAAAGTAACTTTTTACGTTACTCGTTACTTTTACGTTACTTTTATGTTGCTCGACTTTGGGCAGAACTCCATCTCTGTTCCTAAATGTGTAGGCTTACATAAAGTTCTACATATATGGAGGACATAACAGATATTTCTTTTGTGCTCTTTATTATAAAAAAATGCCACAGAGCACTTAACAAAACATTGGGCTATCAATATCAAATATCAATATAAAATCATAATCATTAAACAGGCTAGCCCCAAAATAGGTGCAAAGCTAGTGCAAATCATATCAATAGGCTCCTTAGGAACAACATGATAACCTCAAAATGGCTCATGTGTCTCAAAATAAAACATGCCTCATGTAAATCCAACAGAAAAAGAATAACTTCAAAATGTCTTGATATCGATGGCTTGTGTAAATAAAATAAAATGGCATAATACAGCTTGGAAGCAAAGACATTTTAGCCAAAATAAAATCAAGAACAACTTAAAGCAGGACTGGCCTCAGAATTAAAAGGCTATGTTCACTGCATATGCTCACCCTTCTTCACAGTATGATGGCAGATAAAAAAAAGAGGATATTAGGCATAGGCTTGAGCTATGTCTATAGCATGGGTGGCAGGCAACCTATTCCACATCAGTACAAAATGTGCGATTATACCTCATCAGGAGCAGTCTTTCAAAACGTTTATCTGAGAGTCTGTTTCTTCTGGGGGAAAGCACAATACCTCCCAGGCTGAACAGCCTCTCCACCGGTGCACTGGATGGTGTGGCAGTGTTGTATTTCATACACACAGCTTTCACTCGGGGGAAACGGTTGAGGACTTCTAACTCTGAGCCTGATCTCATGTACTCAAATACCTCCGAGTCTCTGCTAATGGACATTGCGTCTTCCTCTTCCTCATCAAAAGAAAAAAAGTCATTCTCATTGGCGCTGCTGTGTGCGGCGGCTTCTCGGTTTTTATTGTTAGCCGGCTCTTCATCACGGGGTAGAGTGCGACACTCCGCGATGAGCAGCGCACGCGCCGCTTCTCTCCGCTCCGCTCCCACAATCCATCGAACTTTAAATTTCGGCAACGTCAAGGCAGCCAATAAAGCTTCACTGCTCTCCAACACTGGTGCGAATCGCGTCCTGATAGCCTAGGACAAAATTATATAGAACAAATAAGCCTAGTTTTCAGACACACGACTCACTAGAGCTCCATCAGGGGAGGCATAATACATTTATCTTAAGAATATTTATTAAGAAATGTCCGTTAATGGATAGGCATATACATTTATATCATAGACATCGTAGGCTATATATGATGTATATGCCTAGGCTACTAACTTTAAGAATCGGCTTACCTGTACAATTACACCCGGTAGGTTTGCTGTCATCCTCGACAGTCCATTTTGGAGTGCCAGTGTCCTGGACATCAGGGTCTCCAGGGTTGGTAGAAGAGTCCCATAGTAGCAGTTGTCTTCCCCTTGCAATATATCCAGTGCTACCGTCAGGGGTTTCAAAACACTGCAGTATTCCTTTAGGAATAGATGTTCGCGCTCTGTCGGGGCTCTGATGTCCAGTCTAGTACAAAGCGTATTCAAATCTTGGGCCGGGATGTCACTGATGCGGGACAGGGCATCGTGGAAGGAATTCCACCTTGTTGATGTAGGCACAATCATTTTTTTTCCACAGATTTCATCGACAATCTCAGAGGCCAAGGTAGAGCGGCTCGCCTTTGTCCAAAGAGCAGCGCACTTTGCCGTTGCACTCCTGTACACACATTTTGAGTCACTGTTGGAGGACAGCCATTTGTCGATGTCATTGCACGAGATCAAATTGAGTGTATGCGAAGCACACCTGAAATGCGGGGGAAGAGAAAACTGTCCTTCTGTGGCCCCAAGCAACTCTTCCACATCTGTGAAAACGACACCTTGCTCGTCATTATCCTCCTCCTCGTTAGGCTCAGGCGGTGCATACATCTTGAAAGCTTTAACAAAATTAGACCCGTTGTCTGTAACGGTGGCGGTGATCCTATGTGAAAGGCCAAATGCTGAGTGAATCTGTTCCATTTCAAAGCCTATAACATCATATGTATGCCTGCCCTTTATTCTTTTGCATGCGATGGCAGCTTTCTCACGTTTAAAGTTGCATGGATTGATCCAGTGCACAGTGATTCCCAAAAAGCTTCTGTTATGACTACTCCATATATCCGCAGTGGTTGACAGATACGGCAAACTCTCGAACGTTTTCTTTAATTCACTCTCCATTTTCAGATAGCATTCATCCAGATAGCCAGTGAACGTTTTACGATCTGACCATGGGCGCCTGTCTCCTGTTATCGGTATCTTGCTAAGTATCTTTCTGAAAGTGGGAGATTCAACAGTATTGATGGGCAACATTTCTTCGACGATGAACGAAGCTACAAGTTTGTCCAACTCTTGTTTAGATAGGAGAAACTGAAGTTTTAGCTGCTTTGGGCTTGGACTCGAAATATCTTCATTTCTCCGGGGATCTTGAGCTACTAGCTTCATGCTAGCATGTTTTCCTCTCAAATGCTTGATGAGGTTGGCAGTTGAATTAACGGCAGTGGACAAAAGTTTCTGGCCAGGGCACAACGTGCACCTTACACTCACATTTTTCCCCTTATTGTCAACAAGTTCGAAGTAATGGGAATACCTCCATCCCTCGAATGTTAGCGTTGGCTGCGCCTGCTTCTCACTTGCCGTTGCCATCACTGCTCTTCAGTCTTCATGCCACCACCAGCACGTCACGTAGCACGTACAGTGTGGAATGAGAGCTCGTGCCTAATGCGTAAGCACGCAGCTGAGTAGGCAGTGTCACTGTCACTCGTAAAAGTAACGTTGCGGAGAATTGAAGAAGAAACTACGTTACGTTACCAAATGTTTCGTAGTAACGCGTTGCACTACGTTTTACCCGAAAAAAGTAGTTACGTTACTGTAACGCGTTACTTTGTAACACCCAACTCTGCTGCTAGCATAACACCTGACGTGGAAACGTTACTCGTGGATGGGGCTACAGCGCTACTAGAAAGACAGTCGAACCCGGTGCAATCATCCGTCTGAATGTGGTGCACTTTTGCTAAATGTTTAGATAAATTGCTCGTGTTACCGCCCTTACATGCTAAACTCTCTTGGCAACGAGCATTGTCCACCTCAAGACGGGTAACATTTAACCACACCTTGGAGTGCTTCTCTCGTGTGTTGCTGCATGTAGCAGCTGCATGTGTGTGTACTGCCCCGCCCCCTCGCACACAGACGGGGGAGAGAGAGATCTCGTCTCGATTGGAAAGATCGAAAATACACCGACCATAGACGCATTTGTTTGTCTTTTTGCATGTTAGAAACGAGTTGGCGACACTAAGACTGCGAGATAATGTTTTTGTAGCAATAATACATGACCTTTCTCAACTCGCTACTCGGAGGGAAGTCGCTGCTATGCCTTGTGAACACTCCGATAATGCCTCTCCACGTTACTTTTCGTTGGCAGAGCGACGCCTGCTTTACAAATAAGGCAAATAACCTTTGAATGTGACATCACAAAAAAATATTCTTCCTCCCATTCTGGGTGGAAGTGGTATGTCTTTAGCTTTTTGCTCGGTCCCGCACTCATTTTGTTGTTTGTCTCTTTAACTTAATTTGAGTTTTCCCGGCACTTGACTGATTTTGTATCGCTTTGCATTCTGGGCAACAGACTGGAAAGCGATAGGTTGCTTTTTCTGTCAATCAAGTAAACTCCTTGAATTAGGAGGCGAAGGGAGGAGGGATCAAAACATGTTTTGTCTATTTAAATGTGTATGAATGACTCGCGATCTACCAGCATTGCCCCCGCGGTCGACGTACTGGGCACCTCTGCTTTAGACAATAAGAAATATGAAGTTAACTGTTAAGAGTGGGTCAGTTTTTTTAAATAAACAATACTATTACTGTATTTTAATATCTCACGTCTGAAAGTTTAATTTAAAAGAAGAGGTACCAAAAATAAAGATTGGTATATCAATAAATGTAGTTGATTTTGTATTTTTAATTGTTTAAAGTAAAGTAGATATAACTGGTAGTTAAGAGTTTTAATACAGTCTGGTTGCGGAGGAGGCACACAGGTAAGAGCACTAACTAGCTACCATTTAATGTAACTAAGCTTGCCTTGAATTAATAAAAAGTATAATTAAGTAACAGCAAAAAATCAATAACTAAAATCATGCAAAAATGTGAATCTTTGCTGGATCCACTGTTGCATTTACCACATATTATATATTTTAGAAACCTGAAGGCATTTATAGATTTGTATGCAAGTATTATCCAAAAAACTCAATACCATAGATTATTATTGAAAGTTTTGCTGAATAGTTTCATGTTCACTTACCTTAAGCAACGTAAAACGTGCAGACCGGGAGCAACAGACGTAGGTTAGCCTTATTTGGATCAGGCTGGAGTACATTGGTTACTCCTATATTTAGGCTACTTACTGTTGTTAACTAACTAAAGCTAACATAACTGTTGGCTAGAAGTACACAGCTTAATCAGCCATATTTAACTGGCCATTGTCCTCTCAGCCTGAAATATCAATCACTTTAATATATGGTAAAACAAAAAAGGAAAGGTTCTGGCTCAATTTCGGTTTAGTTAGCTTGTTAGCTTATTGCAGCTGTGCATGTTGCTAGCGGGTTGCTAGGCCACCTCACGAGGTGGTGATGTAAAGCCAGGTGATGTAAACAAGAACACCTCCATAGACCAGATCGTCTCAGTTTGTAGACTGCTCGGACCAGGCTCCAGCCTACTAGATCCATGCTGAATTGGACCTTCTGTTTCATTCTTCTTCTTTAATGGTAACTTCCAAATAGAGATGAGCGAGTCATGATTCATCCGGATCATTAACCCGGATCCTAGTAATGAGCCGGTCGTGACGAGTCTCCCTCTCGATTAACCCGAGTCCTTTGAGTCCTACACCTGATGTGACGTAACAATTAAAACTATAAATTGCGTCACTCTTTACTCTCTTTATAACGTGTACAATCACATTACAACGTTGTTGTATCCAGAGATCCAGCAGACTCGTCGCCATGCACGAATCAACAGCAAATTCAGCCCCTCCTCCGGCTCCCGCGAGAGTCCCGTGAGCCGTGAGTGAGCCGTGAGTCGTTGGACTCGCGGGAGCCGTGAGTGAGCCGTGAGTGAGCCGTGAGCCGTGAGTGAGCCGTGAGTCCGCAAATCTCTGAGTCTGCTGCGACTCGTCGAGGGAGCCGTGGGACTCGCGGGAGCCGTGGGACTCGGAGGAGGGGCTGAGTCTGCTGTAGATTCGTGCATGGGGACGAGTCTGCTGGATCTCTGGATTTGCTGCCTGCTATATGTTACGGCTCTGAGTCCTCGTAGGCTACTGGTCTCTCTCGATCATTGACCTGGATTCACGGATCCCGCGATTTTTCCGGCTCTAAATTAAGTTTCAGTGTAGACTTCTAACAAAATGGTCATGTTGTGCAACAGTCTCCTGTAATAATATCTGCATTTCCAATAAGGATCTTACTTGGAAACTCGTTTATTTTGAACATGGCACACAAAAAGAAACAAATGATAGAAAATTGCAAAACAGTTAGAATATATAAAATGTAATTATACAATTATTATTATTATTATTATTAAATGAAAACACAATTGTGCAAAATTAGCTTAAGTACAGGAACATATTAAAATAACTATATACATATAATGCAAAACACTTATTTTTTAAAATGCACACACACACACATGTTTTATTAAAGCAAAAGACACTGTGTAGCGGAGGTTAATGTAACGTTAGTTTAATATGCTGGTTAAATGCAACAACTTTTCGGTTTCACCGGTAGGATTTCTACGGTCTTGGTCATGCTGACTCATATGACTCAAATGACTCGTATGATCCGGATCTCTTCAATGATTGACTCAGAAGACTCCGAGTCCATAAAATGATCCGGATTTGCCATCTCTACTTCCAAACAGAGTAGACGAGAATGATCGCCACCTACTGTATCACTGCAGTATTGTTCCCAGCACCTCCCACTTTACGGTGCTATGTTATGCCGGCTTTTCTTGGCTTATTTTGAAGGTGAGTGGTGATGAACAAATTACTAAACTGCCAATGCCTCGAGTTTACAGCTAATTAGCTAAAAGACAATAACAAATATAGTTAACTATGGTATGGCTGCTAGCTAATGGATAAGTTAGCTCAAGGTTTAGCTAAGACAATTTATCATGGGCATACAGGCTAATGTAGCCTACTGTACTTAAAGGCCCTGACACACCAAGCAGTCACCAGAGAACTCGCCGACTATTGCGTCGCCGTGTTCTCCTGCGTCTTGGCCATGTGTCGCACTGGAACACACCGCAAAGACTTCAGCCGAGCACGTACGAACTGCGCATGCGTGAGTGGCAATAACTCTCGTTACCAGCAGGAGGCGGTAGTGTGTATTCGTCATTCAAAAGAGGCAACAACTGGAAGACAGAGTAGAAGAACAGACTGCGTGATCTAAACAAACATCAAATAGCGTGTGCGTTTCATTTTCACTCTCGTCCATCGAAAACATGTTTGGTGCGGTACTGGAGCTATCAGCCATTGGAGTGTTGCTTGTGGAAGACATTCTCAAGCAACCGTTTCGCTTCTCATGCACTGATTCGCTAGCTGAACAGCCAATCAGAGTGATTTCTTTGTCCGACTGCCTGTGGCCGACGTCGGCCATGAAAGGCCAAATAAGGCGTGTCACAGCCGACGGTGCGGGACACACCAATTGAGTTTGGGCGACAGGGCACGCTTCGTCGCCCGACTAACGAAAACGGCCGATTTTGGCCTGGTGTGTCAGGGCCTTAACGGGAGACACTTAAAGTGAATACAGTAACATGTGTATCTAATAACATCATCACAATCGCCACATTCATATGTAAATTAGGCGTTAACTAGTCTTAATTAAAATGCGCTAATTTGCATGCAGTGAGTTACCAAGGCATTGCAGGTGAAAAGGATAAAACAAAAAAACACATCACCTCACAACTTTCATGCCGATCTAGATCCCTCCGCTTCACGTAGGGCTCCTGATCAGCCTGTCGGTGTTCTTTTCCCCATAATGACCGCGTCGCTGCACATTATCCCTTACATATGATTATATAGAGTCATTATTCATTTGTTTTAAAGCAGGAGAAGCAAACGCTTGCCTCGGGGAGGGAGAAAAAGAGCCACAGCGGAGAATAAACAGAAGGGCAACCATGGCAACCATGCAAGGGAAGTCTTCTTCGCTGCTTTTGTGGCAGACTACAGCGCCACTTACAGGCCTGGCGCATGTACTACAGCGTCTCCAGCGCTTTCGAGCAGCAATGGCCGGCCGTGGCCCAACCTCTCATTCCCCTGATAGGTGGAGAATTGACCAATAGCCGTAGCGCCACCGTCCTGACGTCAGGACAGTGTTCAAATCTGGATCAGTCTGTATCAGATCCGTTGCAGCCCCGTTTTTAGAGATTTGGGTATGGAGGAAAATAGAGAGGGTTGTGTTTTCTGACACTTGGTGAGTTCCCTGGAACACCGGGGACACATATTCATGTATAAAAGACGTACACAAGTGCATTTTGCATGATAGGTCCCCTTTAAATACAAACTTGTGGGCTTTTGGCTATCAGCCCTGAAGTATTGTTTTGCTGTTTACTGGCTGAATTGAATTTAAATGTTTTGTATATAAATGGATATAGAAATGTTGTACAACCAGAAATGTATTTATTCAACTAGAGATTTATTTATGTATACAAGAGATGTATTTATTTTATACAAGAGATGTATTTATTTTATTTAAGAGATTTATTTTTATTTAAGTGCTTAAAGGAAAGATACTAATTATTCCTTGTGACCTTTTACAGGTCAGGTTTTTTGTGCAGATATGTTTTGTTTGCCAGGTGCTTGTCCTGATGACCTTTCTGGACCTTGATGGCGAGCTAAGATTGGAATAAACCTAATCTCCCTGCCACATGGTGTGGTAGGATTGAACTAAAATTAACGTAACAAACGGAAATGAATGAACTGTACCCCGGGAACCTTTTTGTTTTGTCTTTTGCCTTTACTGGACACAACCCCAGAAAAAGAATCATAAGAATGTGATAACGTGTTGATATCTTGAATACAAATATGTTGTTTTGGAAAGCATACCTTGTTTCAGTGTTGTTTTTCACACACATTGAGCTCCATAGTCGTTCCTAGTTCTTCTGAACATCACTAGTTTAATTACAGCTAATACACATGCTACAAAATACATCTTTCATTATTAAATAATATAAAGCAATATACAGCTCCAACAATTTATTTTCCGTGTTGTTTTTGAGTCTTAAGGGGGTCAAAACAGGTCACATGACCTGTCTCTTACTCTTAGGGCACCAATGGTGGTGCAACACGGATTGCAATACCGTGATTCACCACCATTCAGCATAACAGTTATGCGGCTTTCACACCAGCGCTTTTCCCTTTCTAGCTCTGAGCGGGAGCTTTTCTGGTTCAGCTCCGGTTTCCCTTTTCTGCTCCCGCTCAGTTCACACCGCCCAGAGCTGCCGCTGCTGCGTTATGACGTCACCGTTTACGTGCCTACTTCATAAAATCCAAACCGCGCGGAAATCCCTCACATCGACAACAACAACAATGGCCGATTGTATTGAAGCGCTGTTCGCTTTGGTTATCCTCTTACGAAACGAAACGGAAGGCATCGGACGACTTTACAAGGGACGACTTTACTTGGAACTTTACAAACATCACATGTGAAATGCAAGACTTCTTTGTGGTCTTCAGCATCTACCTGCCCCCGCCTCGACGTAAGCGACGCCGCCTCTTAGCTCCGAAGCTCTTGCCTCTAGACCGACAATTTGGAGCTGGAAGTGAACCGGATTCCGGAGCTAAGAGGCGGCACCTCTGCGGTGTGAATAGGAAAAACCGGTACTTTTCAGGCTCCAGCTCCGAGCCGGAGCTGAAAACGCGTTGGTGTGAAAGGGGCATTCGAGGGCCGTTGTTTCACTCTTGGTAAAATATTGTATGGCAAAAGGGGAGAAAGGGCAGCACAGAAGAGTTAACCAAACTAAAATACGTAGTTTTTTTAATTAAAATGACATCACGGTCTGAAAAGACAGCTATTGTCAGCCTTCGGGAGAAAACGCCACTGTGTGAAGAGGATTCCAGGATCACAATGACTCAAGAACACTGTGGGTCTGTTCTGTTAGCTGCTGTCCGTTCTGCTTGTGCTCTACATCAGAGCCACGAGCAATAACCCTATGCAGGAGTCCAGCTTTAAAACCAACAGAAGATGTGCAAAGAAAACAGTGATAGACTAGAACAATGGAAGAAAAATATGTTTCTTTACTGCAGATATAATGCACAGTTCTTTGTCTCTTTATCTTTCTTTCTCTTGGAACCTTTAACTACATTTTTCAGGTTAAGATTTTGATCTTAAACTTGCTTTCTAATGCCCATGCTTTTCTTTTCTCTCATGTTGTGAAGTAAATTCCTCCTGTGCTGGGGCTGCACTCTTTATTCTGAACACGTCTGTTTTGTTCCTGCTCGATGTCTGCCTGGCCCAGCTGTGTTTTGAACAAGAAGGCTTAGAAAGAGGGAGTGATGGGGGAAGAATTTGTGACTATGCAGTTTACCACTGTGAGATTACTATGCCAGCAGAGACCGAGGGCCAAGAAATGGGCACCAAGAGAAAAAGGACAGGACTTTTGTTGTCTGGGTTATGTTTTACAGGCTGTCTCCGAGGTATTGTGATTCTGTGTGCATTTGTTAAACACACATTACAGCCTCTCTGTGGCTTACCCTGTTATTGGAAATCGAAAACAATTATACAAATGGTCTTCAATATATACACCAAATATGCAACTCTCCAATGGGAGGAATCATACCTCATAGCCAGGGCCGCCTTAACCTGCCATCAAGCCCTGGGGCTGATTTTAGTTTTGTAGCCCCCTGAATGGATTCTAACAATAAAAATGTGTACAAATCTGATTTTGTCCACATGGCAAATGTAGGCCCATTTCATTAGTCTCAGGAGATATGACATGTTATCCCTCTCTGAGCCAGATAATACCACAATATTAACATTTACAGAGGATTCAATATTTATATAATAACTATTTAAATAACAAATGAAAGTAATCTATAGCCTCCGCAGGCTCTGTGAATAGATCACACACACACACACACACACACACACACACACACACGCACGCACACACACCGAGCCTGACCTGGATCTCTCCTCGTCGTCCTCTCATGCTCCTCCAGCAGATAACGTTCCTCTGTCTGTTTGTCCTCTCCATCGCTATCATCAGAACCAAACAATTTGTTTGCCATTTTCTAAATCCTAAAATAGAGTAAATTAAAAATGAACTGTATTTCTTGCAGCCAACTCTGAAAAGTCCTGAGCCAGCCAATATTTCCACACCTCTTCTTAAGTTTGACAGTCCTAGAACTTTACACATTATGAAGTGAACACATTTTGTTGTGGGTGATGAGATTTGGAGGAGCCTAGTTACAGTCCGAGCCAAGTGAACCTTACAATAACTGGAGCGTAGTGGGACTGGTTTTATGTCTCTAGCTGAGGATTTCAGCTTCACCTGCGCTGTGGAAGGGAACCCCTCTGAAAATCCTTGTTGGTGTGCGAGAGGAGAGGATGAACACTGGAGGTGTGGGATGTTCTGTGGCTGAGCATGGAGCAGCCTCCAGCCCCCGCATGACCGCACACTATAATAATATGTTAAACCACAGGATATTTTCAATTATTTTTAATACATTATGCAGCTGTAACATATTATCTCCGATGTGGAGAATTAAGACCAAACGTATCGGCACGGATAGATACTCAGTTTTAAAAATAACATAATATATATGATTATTTTAGGTCATTCCTCATCATTTGAAGTCCCTATCCTGAATTGTGTTTTCAGTTCAGATAGTCAAAGGAAAGGCATGTTCATGGCTGCTGTCTATAAATACAGCCATCAATAAATCATTGAAATGTGTGAGGGAGACATGAACAGGAGAGAGACGTGTTTATATTTACCTGCTGTCCATTTGTGTGTGTGTGTGTGTGTGTGTGTGACAATGGTGCAGCAGGTACAGTTGGCCGAGTGCCGACATTCCTGCAACACTGACTCAAATGGGCTGATCATTATCTCCTGCAAACACACACACACACACACACACACACACACACACACACACACACACACACACACACACACACACACACACACACACACACACACACACACACACACACACACACACACACACACACACACACACACACACACACACACACACACACACACACACACACACACACACACACACACACACACACACACAGCATGGATCAGGGTATTGTATGATTGCACAAGCCCTTCCCCCTCCCCAGATCTCCTCTCTCCCTTTCTCCCTCATTTGCTCTCTCTCCCCTCCTTCTCCCTCTCTCTCTGTCACACACCCACACATAAACGCACTCTGCAGAGAGCGTCGTTTCAGAGCTACGTTTGGAAAATAAGAGGTCACAGAGAGGAGTATCCCTTTCAACCTGCTGAAATGTTCATACCTCCTTCCATTATTCAGTCAGATGGTGCTCCCCCTTCTACTGCACTGCTGCATATCGCGCTGGATCCTAGTGTGTGTGTGTGAGAGCCATTACCGCTGCTTATCAGAGGGACCCTCGGACCATAATGGATATCTATTCTAGGAAGCTGTCACCGTGGGAGCAGAGAGTGTGCTGGGAGGAGAGCTGCTTGGACTGCTCTCTCATGTTTGGACTGTGAACACTCCTCCTCTGTCTGCCTGTCTTTTCTCCTGCAGGTTCAATGAACTGACTGACAGCCTGTAATTGCTATTTTTCTCACAGTAGTTGTAGCCGTGCTCTGGATGCTATTTGTGTTCCTCTCATTCTTTCTGGGATGGCTCCTCACTTTGATATTTCCCTCCACAGATGAAAACGAGGACACAGTGTTAGGGAGTTTGCCGCTGCTCAGTTTCCGAGTCGGAGGAGTGGAGCCTTCGGATAACCTCACACGCAGGTTTGCCTTTAAGGTCAGTAACATCCTGGTGGAGGGGCAGAGGGTGCTGGGAGGTCTGTGTGTAATTGCATTTCATCATAAGTGCATATTGCTTTTTATGTTTAGGCCAAACCTTAATAAATGAATACCGTAAGTAGGAACAGTAGGTAGGAAAGTGTAAAACATGTTGCAAAACAGGGGGATTGGAGGGCTGTCTGTTGCTCTAACCATAGAAGACTCATCCTTGTGCAATGTGACCTTAATTGCAAAAGCAGGATTTACTGATGTTTGAACTTGTTCCTTGGTTGCATCGCTGTGCTTTAGTGAAGGGTGTTGGTTTGGTTTTAGTTGATTGATAGAAGCTGACTGGCTTCATGGCTGAGTCACATGATGTTATTTATGGTAGAGCCTCACAGCGACTCTGCAGGCTCTCAGTTACTCAGGTTGGGGGGGGTTGATGTTGTAGCTGTGGCGGAAGCCTACTAGTAGAACTTGTATGACTTTGAGTTTAATATGTGATCAGCTAAAGAGCCCCAAATCTTTATATGTTGTGTTTATTATGTTGCTGACATTGAGTCATCATTTCATTTCTCATCAATGCACCAACCCCCTTGCAATTTGTGAAACCTAACATTATTTAATATTGTGGATATTTAGTGAGAGTGGCTAAAACATGAATTTCAACCATTGATATTCTTAGCCTCTTCCTAAACAACCCAAACAGGATCTGCTTAAGTTAACAATTACCAACAACATTCTGACTGATGAGGGCGACCACGGCTCAGAGTCAAATAGGCAAACAGAGACCCACTGAGGCCCCGCTCAGTGGGTCAGTGGTTCGATCCCCAGCCCCTGCGGTCAACATTTCAAAGTGTCCTTGGGCAAGAAACTGTATTCCAAATGTCTATGGTATTGAAGGTCAAGTACCTTTGGATAAAACCAGCAGCTTAATGAAATGCAATATTATTAGTGAATGGATACATTTTTCACTTTTTATCTGCCACCTACAACTTATTTACAAGTACAGTAGAACCATGTCCCAAATCACTGTGTAGTCCAAATACACTGGGCAGCTTATCTGAAACATCCATAGACTTTTGTTGGGAGGTAAAAAGACAGAAAGTATATTAATTGTATACTTATTGTTCCTAAATGTCTCCTCAGACGCAGGGAGCTGTAAACAGAGCTCAGCGGAGACAGCTGTGTGTCAGGCTGAATAACGATGAGACCATGAGGATGTAATGTAGGTTAGCTGAGTCTGAATCTGCTGAGTGAGGCTTTATATAAGTTGGATAGTTAGCCTTGTTTCCCCATCAGCCTCAGCATGAAACACAAACAGTGACAGCTCTCTCTGTCCAGATCTCTGACTATATCGCTCTTTGTTATCTCTCCCTCTCTCTTTGCTGACCTCTCGCTCACTCACTGTTTGCCATTATCATCTTTCTTCACTTTCCAGAACATTCAGTCCTTGTTGTTCTCTCTTTGCATGTCCAGTGCAAGCTCTGGTGCAAAGTCCAGGGCATGTACACAGTGTATTCCACACACACACACACACACAACACACACACACACACACACACACACACACACACACACACACACACACACACACACACACACACACACACACACACACACACACACAACCACACACACACACACACACACACACACACACACACACACACACACACACACACACACACACACACACACAACACACACACACACACACACACACACACACACACACACACACACACACACACACACACACACACACACACACACACACACACACCTGCAGTGGAGACAGACTGAGTAAATATGCACAGTGTGGCTTTGAGAGCCTGCCGAGGGTTAGGGTGCTGCTTGTTAGCTCATGTTCTGACTGGACTCTGTACTGTTTCCTGTCCAATGTCACTCTGGAGTTAATATTAACAAACCTTAAATCATGTTGCAAGTACAGAGCAAAAGCATTTCAGCTATAAATATATTGGATACATGTAAAAATAAGCACTACACCTAAAATATCACAAAGACAGATAATCATTAAAGACTTTGACAAGGCCTTGGTATCAAAGCTATTCTGAAGAAGTGAGAGCACACAGATTCTGCCAGGCTCACAGTGAGAATCATCTCCTGTCTTCACACAGATAGCAGATGTAATTTCCAAAATATTATGGTGAGATGGTTTATTTTTGATTTTTGACAGTCAGGCTAAACCTTTTCCCTGATTTCCCTGCTGACACATTCACTGTCCAGTAAATTGTAAAATTTGTAAAACCCTGGCCAACGTCAAGAAGCTTGTTCATCAGCTTGTAGCCGTGCACAGGCATTTGATGTCCTGCCTGTGGACATCAAATGAAATGTGTGCTCACCCGTTGACCCTCTCTCAGAGCATGCTGCTGCAGTGACCTCTCTCTGGGGGGCTCACCAGGCTGTGGTGATATCTGTACACATAAGTGTATTTGCTTTTTTATATTCATGGTGTTGTATTTATTCTATGCTTCTCCAATGTTGAAAAGTTATAATGGCAGGTATGGTGTGATCCTTTTTGCCCCTTAATAATAATAATAATGATGATAATAATAATAAATTACTTTTCCTGAAGGAGGTCGATGAGATAGGTCGGGCCAGGTTGTGGAGGGCTTTGTAGGTGTTTAGGATCATTTGTTTGATTTGGTCCAGTATTTCACAGGGAGCCAGTGTAGTTGGATGAGGATGTGGTCAGTTGATTTGGTGCGGGTGATGATCCGGGCAGCAGAGTTCTGTATCATTCGTCGCTTGTTAAGAAGTTAGGGGGGATGCCGGAGACAGCATTGCATTAGTCGAGGCGGGAAGTGACAAATGCTTTGACCTGGATTTGAGTGCTGGATTCGGACAGGTATGGCGGACTCTGGAAATAGGTGGAAGAGAGCAGTGCGGTTGATGTTTTTGATGTGAGGTGCAAAGGAGAGGGAGCTCCAGAGTGACATTGAGGCTCTTGACTTGAGGGTACGGAGAAGCCATCAATGACGATGTTGGGAGTGGTGGAGGATTGAGCTTTGTTGAGGGGGGTTATGGAGCTTCATCCAGCTCCTGATGTCCTGGAGGCATGTGGTGAGAGAGGTGGGGGCTGGACAATGTTGGGTTTGGTGGAGATGTAGACCTGTGTGTCAGCCGCATAGCAGTAGAAGAGGACCTTATAGTGAGGGAGGACAGTGCCAAGGGGAAGGAGGGAGACGATGGAGAGGAGTGGACCTAGAACTGATCCCTGTGGAACACCTTGTGAAAAAGCAGAGCATCTTGACTTGTGGTTGTTGAGTTGAAAATATTGTTGTCTGTCGGCGAGATATGATGTAAGTGCCCCCCCAGTCCCAATGTCAGCCAGGCGTTTGATGAGTAGCTGTGAGGTATAGGAGGATGATGATGCTGAGCAGTCCTGAGTCAGCTGCAGGAAGAGGTCTCATGTCATTCTTTCTCCTGCCTTCCTACTGCTGCTCTTTTTGAATAAGGCTGTTTCTTAGTTGCAGTGCTCTCTTCCTACTTTGGTCTCTCCAAGATGGCGGCATTTGTATCTGGGCTGGTTTTTCTCATGTCCCTTTCAGATTGTCTTTATTTAGAAAAGTATAGATTTTTTATATATAGCAATATATATGTTTGAAACACTGCATTTTAAATGTTAAAAATGTAATTAATTCAGAACTCTATGCAATCTTAAAATAAGAGAACTGCCAACAAGTAAATGACACATTTTCTCTGTGTACTTCTTTTAGCTGGGATCATGAGAATTTCAGAAGTGAAAACTAGGGCACAGAGCTGGAGAGCCCTGTCATAAACCATGGTCCCCAGGCAGCCACAGGCCAAAAATAACAGCAGTGGCCCTCATAACCCACATTACTTAAACCTTCTTCATGAAACCTTGTTCATCCTGTGTGAACATTGCAGCGCCACCAGGTTGATTTGATTTAAGGTCCAAGGGAATCTTTGTAAAAATAACCTGGAGAAGCCCACAGTCCAGTTTGTCTTTGTAGAAAGCAGCAGGTCACAGAATACACTGTTTAGTTTAAAACACTCAACACACTGCTTCAAATAAAAGAAAACATGTAGGGTAATTATAAATGAAATAAAAATAAAAATTCCCAATACCATGATTACTTTTTAATGGCACTAAATGTAAGAACAGAGGATGAAATCAGCTGCTCTACAGGTCACAGTGGTATCAGCGGTTGATCAAGTCAATGCGGTGCAGCGATGTGATTCTTTGTCTGTTTGGCCCAAAGTCATACAACAAAAAAGTCACCGCTCTGCGGGAAAGGGCTTCAGTGGAACCTTTTTTATTTTTTTTCAGGAAGTGGAGTATCATTTCTCTGTTTCTCTATTTTCTTTTCAGTTTTGTTTCAGCATGTTTAATCACTGCTTAAAGGGCTCTACACAACATGCCAACATTCGCGAGTTGCACAGGATACAAAATAATTGCATTTTCATTTGGATTTCTTGGGATTCCTCCCATGTTCCTGGACTTTCATTCCACATTTTCATTTATTCACTATCCTCGCCTGTAACTGTTGTTTATTTTGACATCTGTAAGTTAAACATTACATTAAATATACCATTCACGTGCCAAAGTAATCCACATAATGATTGTGCGCTTGCATGCATATTATTGGTAAATCCTATTTTGATGTTGTGTTGCAATGTGGCAAAAGTGAACAAAGCTCGTGTATTTTTGCAAGAGGCCATCTTGTAATTTTCTAATCATGAGCCATGCCAGTGAAGAGAGTTATATAGGTGAGAGTTCATAGTGTTGGTATCTACAGTATAGCTAGCTCTAAAGACATCGTAGTGAAAAGCAGTGTGAGTGTTTTCCGAGGTGGACTCGTCTTGTTTTCGTCGGAGTAGAGGAGCTCCCTCAGGGTGTCTCAGAGTGGGGGCGGAGCCTCTGTGGTCCTGCCCCAGCATGCCTCCGGTAAGCTGTCTGCTGATTCCTGTCCAACAGCTCATGTTCACGACAATTGTTTGCTTCAAAGTGACCCACAGTGCCTCTGATACGCTG